CCGAGCCCGGCCCGGGGGAGCGGGAGGCGGGTGCCCGCCAGCTCCTCCTCGTCGCGAACTCGCGGTGACCTTGGCCCAGTCGCGCTGGCGCCTGAGCTGGCGCCTGCGTGTGTAAAGTGCGACACACAAGCCCTGCCTCCTCGATGGCCGTTTTGAGGTCCGGTGGCGGGAACCCTGTGAGGTTCCTGGAGACCTGGGCGCTGTGCCGGGCTCCCCATCCAGGATGCGGGAGGAAGGGCTTCCTGGGTATCGATTATTAGGAAGTCTTTGCAGAACTTGTGTTTCCCATGAAACAGCGTTGGAGGAAAGGGTGCGCTCGCTGTGATTGGCACCCCCAGACGCCCCTGCCCTGCTGTGAGCGGGGTGCTCTCCCCAATGGCTACCGTCTGCAGAGTAGCGCGAAGCCTTTGAAGAACTCGATTTTGTGATGCCTGTTGTTTGCCAAAGCCCTTTCCACCCGGGGGAAAATTATGGGGTCTGCCAGGGAAGTTTAGTGTCTGCCTACGTGGGGTCTTTGTGGACCGCGGAGTCCGCTTTCCACGTACCAAATTTTTGTCGAGATTGAGTATGCAGGAACTCAGGGCCCGTCCCTTTTCTTGGCGATGCGTTAGGATCTCCTGGAACCATCCCTTCTGTGGCAGAAGGTCTGCTGGGTATGAACCCTCAGTATAAATGAGTGGCCACGGAAGTAAGCATCTGCGATGGTCCGGGTTGGGAGACATTCAGAGTATCCTCGTGGACTTAAGCTGAAAACTTTCCGTTGCAGGTGACTAGCATGCGGAAATCCATGGTCCGCCTGATTTGCCGCCCCTACTGACATGGCCCACCGAGGTGGGGAAAGAGACTTCCAGACATCAGCTCGGCGCATGGGCACCTCTCTGCTCTTCCAGCTTTCAGTTCATGAACGGGAGCTGGACCTGGTTTTTCTGGATCATAGCTATGCCAAGCCATGGAGTGCCCACCCAGATGCCAGCAGTGCCCGCCCCACCCGCATGCTCTTTGTTACTCCCCGGAGGCAGCATGAAAGTAGCATGTGAGTTTGGGTTTCTCTCCTGAGGGCTCCAGCCGCCCTAGTTAATTGGGCAGTGATCAGATAGTGGGGATTAGAGAGGGTTTCCGTGGGTATGGTTGGGGAAGAGTGTACGGTGGGCTTGGATGTCATTCAGGCATCTATCTGTGTTAAGGTGCAGAAGGATATAAGGTCTTTATCTGCATATGAGACAATTCCTAACTACAGTTAGGAAAGGAAGACTTGCAAAGGAGAGCAGGCAGCCTATTTCACTTAGATAGTAGGACTTTGTGAAAGGAAATTGAAGAGAATTATTTAACTGCTGAAGAAAAAGACTTAAAAGTTGGTTTTTAAAAATTGCTGCGTTGGAGGGCCAGCAGATGGCATGGAGGTTAGGGCAGAGGATTCCACGTGGCCAACTGCTCAGTTCGAGTTCTGGACCTGGTGACTTGGAAATCATGCTGGGCATTCTCCAAGAGGAGAATGGAGGAGAAGGGATTGTGGTGTGGCCATCCCCCTTGGAGGGTAATTTCTCACTCTCTGGTGAGTGTATGTGTCCTATAGCAAAAACTAAAAAAAAAAACAAAAAATTGTTGCATAGGATGACTCCTTGTCACTCAGGTCCAATGTTCTGGTTTGCTTGACAGTGGTAACAATAGCTTTTTCACGGTAATGCAGTTTGCTTTTTCAGGCATCACACACAAACATTTGCAGCAGATTCCCAAGAAATTATTTTCTTTCTTAGTTTGTTTTAGAACTGCCACTGTAGACTCACCTAAACTTTTTAGTTCTAGTCACATTTTCAGTCAACTTACATTATATGAAAGTTATATAAATTATCTTTTATGACAGTTATATTTGGATTAAGCAAGCCTGTTTGGCAATTCGTTTGAGCTTTAAGGCATAATTTCTTCTCTCTCTTTTTTTTTAATTTGCTAGAGGGCTGGGGTTGAGAAGGCATCCCC